GAAATTTGCTGGAAAGCCCGTCATCGATTTCCCATCACTCGAACCCGGGACCTCAAACTCTTGAGTCAAACGTCTTACCACTGCTCTACTGCTGCTCTTTAGTAGAAACTGGCGTACACGTAGAACGGAGAGAAGTGTGTGTATTGTGTGTGTATGTGTGGTTAGTGCGAAGTCTCTGGGAAAAATCCTGTAGGCCCTGGCCGAATTCGAACCTGGGTCCGCTGGCTTTCGAGTCAAGCGTTTTATGCACTACGCTACTGCTATACCCTGATGGAAACTAGCTATATTGTGTACATACGAAGAGTATTGACGTCACGCGTGAAAAATTTGGCAAATTCTAGAACCTACGGGACTCGGGCCCCCACCATGAGATCCCGGCTCTTGACTCTCGTGAGCATGTGCGAGCATGTTCGAGCAGGTAGGGATCATTTCGAAGACAAAAACTACCCAGCGGTTGTTGGAAGACGATACCTCTGGTCTATGTCTATCCGAATATTTTTATCTGTGCGGGTCCCCTCGCTTTCGAACTCGAAAAGTTTACAACAAGATTTGTTACCTCGAACTGGAAATTACAGGGAAAAGAGAAGAGGTGAAGAGAAAGGAATGCACAATATTTTTCATAGAATTAATTCACATTTTATTTTTATACATTTTTTTTAATATAGGATTGAACCTGGTACACAGGAATATGATGATCTAGCGATTTACGCTTACATTGACAAAAGATTTTCTTATACATTTGTACAATCAACTGATCATTTCGTTCACAATCATTGGTAAACAAACTGCTTGTTTGTTGCGGTTGTTGCGGTTAAACTGCTCGAGGTTATAACCCCGACACATAAAGTAAAGAAAAACACAGTAATAATGACCACAAGTCGTCGATAAGAGTCCCTGTAGCTGAAAGGTATTCCATTGGTAAGTGACGGAATTTCTTCTAAGACGCAGGAGAAATCGTGAGTCCCAGGGTGGCATCCCATAGCTGTCGAAGTCTGTAAAGTAAGAGCGTGTACGGCATAAGTGGCAGTTGGCTTCAAATATCGTCCTAGTTTTGTTGTGAGCCGATAGATGCAATCTTTGTCATGAAGGCTTTGTCACAAAAGATTAAGTTGGCGTCGAACTCTAACCTGAGAAACACGTTAACCGTCATGAGTGCCGCATACGCATTGCGCTACGAGGCTGTGTTCCTTCGTTCCCACCCCAAAGGACCAAAAATGTCATATGCAATGGCTGCTAAATACATGGGAAAGTCAAAACCGTTCGTCGCTAAGTAGGTTCAGCAATATAAGAAGATAAAAAATGTCGATGACTTGCCAGAACGTGGCTCGATAAGCAAAGTGACGCCGAATATGGAAAAAAAATTATGAATTTGTTTAAGCAGAACCCGACCTTAACATTGCGACAAGGAGTAGCAAAATTAAAACAGAAGGGTATAGAAGTATCACATACAACTATTCAAGCCCATCTCCTTGCGCATAACCTCAAATATTGAAGCACAATGAAGAAATCACTGTTAGGCGAAAAACATGTGACGAAAAGACTCGCTTGGGCAAAGGAGAATTTGGACCGAGATTAGAGCAACGTGATCTTTACGGACGAAGCTTCTGTTTGGGGATATACTGCCATCCGACGTTCCTGGTCAACCTTGACCAATAGATTAATACAACGGACTGTTAAACACCCTGTAAAAGTTCATCTTTGGGGCTGCTTTTCGAAACAGGGTTTTGGAGCATTACATCTGTTTATATACAATTTAAATGCTCCGAAAATGCTTAAAATTTATGAGAAGTGTTTGCTGCCGACTACTGAATGATGCTTCATAAAAAAACGAGGACTTGATCTTACAGGAAGACAACGACCCAAAACACCGGAGCAAGCTTTGCACCGAGTGGAAAGAGCAGTCTGGCATCGTCACACTTGATTGGCCATCGCAGTCGCCAGATGCAAACCCCATTGAAAATGTGTGAGCATATCTCAAGCACAAGCTTCGAGGAAAAAGAGTGTGCACTTTGAAGCAGCTGACACGACAAATTCGTCTCATTTGGAGGTCTTTACCGTACGAATACGCAGTCAACTTAGTGGAAAGTATGCCTCGGAGATGCCAGGCAATTATCAATGCCGGTGGTGACTGGACTCATTATTAATGGTATAGCATTTTCTTTCTCATGGAGTACAACAAATCCAATACTTAAAAATTATTAAAAATAAATTTTTCTACACATTAACCCGTGCACGCTCTTATTTTACAGACTGTAAATGCCGGGCACCATTAAACGCTTTGTTATCGACAAAGCCGACAATTATGCGCTTTGGTATTTGTCCAAGAATGACGTTGTCCAGTGTCTCTCCTACGACGCCGCTATGAATCGTGAATGAATTAATCTCGACTCTCGTAAGGGAGTATTTAGTAGTAGTGGTCAACATTTTCGTATGAGCGAGTAATATGCCTGGATTTATTATAACTCTTCTGATGAGTAGTGTAGCATCTAAAATGCGTATCCGTGACATAGTATTTCCCTCCATAAGACAGAAGGAATCTTTCGAACGAACAAGCCTCATGCGCACTTCGACACCGTTGATCAAGAATTTATCTTGATTGAAGACGTTGCAGTGAAGATGACCTATGAGATCCAGTGTTTGCCCTCCTTGTACAAAAGCGGCTTGCTTGTCGAGTCCGTGATTGCATGGTGTCGCTCCCGGTAGAGCGTCCAGGTTCCCTGCAGTATCGCTGTACCATAGGCAGGTGGGAGGTTTTTACTGGTGAAGCATAATTTAATAACGCCTCTATGTAAGCGCGGTAAGCGTAAGCATTGTTTGGAGGAGACACGAGCTTTTGATTGAAATATACATCGATTTGATTGAACATCGAATGAAGTATATGGTTTACCGGGTCTACTTTTGCGGCAGCGGCTCCTGCTCTGGTTTCCGTTTCTACTCGTATGCGTAGCGTCAGCATGGTGTGAGCAAGATCTATATATTCTTCTCCATGCCCGGGTACAACGAATTCGACGGGCGCGTCGTCCGTGAGAGAAGACACAGGTTTGTAGTGAATCCATTGTGAACTCTCAATACTGGTTTGTGTAGGCGGTAGAGTGAAGAAATCGAGTTCACTCTTTAAACATTCGCAGGAATGCGTATGAAGAAAGGATATGCTTCGAAAGCACGCGTTTGTTGTTTAGGAAAAAATGTCTGATACAGTACGCTTCTTGATAACTTCCCGACGTTTAATGAGTCCTCTCTCGCCTTTTTTCACTGAACGCTTCTTCTTCGTGGGTTTCTTCGCTAACTTTTTACCTGATTTCTCCCCCGGTGCGTTTCTTCGAGTCACTTTCCTTTTACTTGATTTAGAAGCGCTGACCCAATGTTTGCGCGAAGATGATTTACCGCTGTATCCGCTTGGCGTGTTGAAAGGAAACTGAGATTTTCTGATTTTCGCAGGAACTTTATATCCCTTCATCAGATTGTTAATGTATTCTCCCGCTCTTCTTTTGAGATTTGAGTCTGATTCCTTGAGGCGCGTTTTAACAGCTACTTCCAATGGTGTGTTATTCCCCACATCATCGAGTATATTATTCCCTGTGCGTAGAGCTTATTTTCCAACGACACGCGCACCACTGGCCAAATAGGGTAACATCCGTCTGAACAGACCATCGAGAAAACTACCGATACCGTGACCGCTCTGATACCGCGATCCTACGAAAACTCGTGGACTTCCACCTCCACTTTCCCCGATTGTGCTTCGTAATATTTAATAATCGTCAAGCTATGTTCTAATTTGGATAATATCTTAATCTCGACGTGTAAATTGTAATGTACCTGTCAACGTCCAAATTCAATGTATCTTCGCCACTGATTCTTATATTATTCGATCGTGCGAAACATATTAATCAATAATATAATTCGATGGAAAAATTTCACCATGTTACGTCCGTAGGCATATTTACCATCGTTGTAGTCGACGGGAACCACTCGGAGAAGAGGAGCATGCACGTCACCCGTTATACAGTGCCTACCAAAAGTTTGGGGCCACCTAAATAATTTTTGAACGGTTTGAAATATAGGATTGAAATTTACGAGGATTCAATGGGATGACAAAGTCTATTATTTAACCACAAAAACACCCGCCTCCACACCCCCTGGGACCGAGGAGAGGGGGGAGCCAAAAAATCTCAAATGGCATGTTGGGTTGAGTGAGCTCGTTCGAAAGGGCTTTCCGAGACGAAAACAACGCGAGATCGCCGAGGTCCCTACGATCTTTTTTCGCGTGTTATGATCATTTGAACATTGAGATTTTGCGAGGGTCCACAGCGACAACAGAAGAAAGGTCAGGCTTCACGCGGGCACGTGCGTGCGTGCGTGCGTGCGTGCATGCGTGCGTGCGTGCGTGCGTGCGTGCATGCGTGCGTGCGTGCGTGCGTATGTGTGTGTATGCGTGTTCGGCCAACTAAGGCAAGACCGCTAGCGTGTCCGGCCAACTAAGGCAAGACCGAGATAGGAACATTGGCGTATGTGAAGGAATAAAAACATTAATTATTTAATCAAATGTTCAAATTGATGTCCTTCGACAACTTGGCAGTGTCTTAAGGAGTAAGGCCACTCCAGAATTTTCAAGAAATCGATTTTTTTTTTGTCAATATGTTGCCTTGAAGCCTTAAGAGTAAGAAAAAAATGTTTCATAGCCCGGGGAAATCTCAAAGAGATCGTTTTCGAAGGTTTTTCCAAGGCACCCCGCTGCGCGCTCCAAGCGCTTTTGGATCGATACAGCGCGCTTGAATTTAGACCTTTGTAATCCTCTTACCTGTTGAGAATCACTTATTTTCGGGGTTCTAGAAAGTATATAAGGTTCGTATAATAGCTTGCAGATGTCGTAATAGTAAAAGTAAATACAGCAAAGTGTTAGTGTACACTCAGTCTGGCCGTTAGAAGGACACCAAGCGCACACTTGCTTGTTGCATTCTATTAGCTTTCGTTTGTTATTACTTAGATTGGTGATTGACACAAAATGAGTGAAAGATCAAAATATCGTGACCGCAAAGGTACAAAGAGAGGAGCGAGTTTTGCAAATAAACCAAGCAAGTCACGTCATCGATCGTTAAACAGATTTGAAATAGAGTCGCCGGATCCCAAGAGCGTCGGCACGTCCGCTAAGAAGCTTAGGCTGTCTGAAAATGCTCGTCAAGTTGAAGTAGATGCATTGTTCGGCTATCGTTTGATTAATTTTGTGGCTGTGTTTTCTGCTTTTTCACAAGTTGTTGAGTGCAAAGTGTGCAAATCGAACGTCACATTTACTGAAAGTGGCAAACGTGGACTTGGTTTCAAGATAGTTATTTCTTGTGTCAACTGTGAGAAAACTGAAATTTCTAATAGTCCATATATTAACCGAACATATGAAATCAATCGGAGAATAGTCCTTGCCATGCGATTACTAGGAATTGGTTTATATGGATTCAAAAAGTTCTGTGCGTTCATGGAACTGCCTCAGCCAATTTTTCATTCATTCTATGATAAACTTATTAAAACTATTCATGATGCAACAGAAACTATTTGTAAGGTTAGCATGGCAAAAGCAGTAGAAATAGAAAAAAAGAATGTGCTGAAAATGGATTGGTAGTGTCAGGTGATGGTTCTTGGAGGAAACGTGGATTTTCATCATTATTTGGTTTGGTGACATTAGTAGGATGGAGTACTGGAAAAGTGATTGATATAATTATCAAATCTAAATATTGCAAGGCTTACGAATATTGAGAAAAAAAATCTGATACTGCAGAATATGCTGAGTAGCTGGAAACAGATGCAAACCAATAACCACGAGGGGTCGACGGGTAAAATGGAGGTCGACGCAGTTGTCGAAATGTTTCAGCGTTCTGAAAGTTTATATGAAGTGAAATACGGCAGATACATAGGTGACGGTGACTCTAAGACATTCAAAGGTATTTTAAATGCTGAGCTTTACGAGAATTTCACAATACAAAAGAAGGAATGCATCGATCACGTTCAGAAAAGAATGGGAACTCGGCTAAGAAATTTGAAAAAAGAAGTAAAAGGTCTTGGCGGGAAAGGAAAATTGACAGGCAAGCTCATTGATGAGCTTTCAATGTACTACGGCTTGGCCATCCGCAGGAATCAAAATTCAATAGAAAAGATGAGAAATGAAATTTGGGCAACGTTGTACCACAAGCTGTCGACAAATGAAAAGCCACAACACGACAAGTACCCGTCCAGTGAAAGTTCGTGGTGTTCGTGGTAAAAGGCAAAAGCCACCAATACTTTAAATACTTATTCACACAAGCAAGCTCTTCTACAAACAGTTTTTAACGCCATGAAGCTCATCTACGAAGAGTTGAGCAGCGATACCTTCTTACACGGTGTTTAGGTGGCTTCACACAGAACAGCAATGAAAGCTTCAATGCTACGGTTTGGTCAATAGCCCCAAAATCAACATCAAGTGGGAAAACTGTCCTTGATTTTGCAGGAAATCTTGCTGTGTGTATCTTCAACGATGGAAGAAGCAGTATTATGCAAATTATGGCGGTTTTAGGCATGACCATAGGGCTAAATTGTTATAACTTCTGCGTTGATGCGGACGACCGCCGCATCGAGTTATCCGACCGATCGTTGACTGAAGCTGCAAGAACATCTCGGCTTGCTTTAAAATCAGACAGGAAGGATGAAGAAGAGAAAAATATCAATTTGGAAGGCTAATTATATGGTGCAGGCATTGCAGGTTAAAGGTATAATCAAATTTTCTGCTATAGAATGTTATTCAAAACTTTGAACACGTTTTTCTAAGAACTGCATTTTTCTAATTGGGCGAAATGATAACTCCTACAAATCTTTATCGATTCTCTTGAACTTTTGAGGGTGACTTTTCAGATACATTATCTAGTGGATAGCGTACGGATTTTGCAATAAGTTATAAACTTTCATTTTTATAAACAATTTTTCGGTGAAATTTTTGGGTGAAGAATGAACTTTTTTTAAAAATGTGCACCATTTTTCAAGAAAACGGTATTTTCAAATTTCCATACGCTATCCAGTAGCTTTTGGCATATATTACTTAAAAATTTTTGGTTTTTCGTTCTAGGTTGAAATCTGCGGGAGCAATCGTTTCGCCCGTTTAAGGCCTCGCATGAAAAGTGCCTTGCAATCTTAGGTTCTGAAGCCATTTTAAAATAAAAACAAATAAGAAAAATTTTTTCTTACACTTAAATGTGTTTAATAAAGTACCTTAACTGAATTTTCCAATGCTTTTATTATACTCTTGAAAAAAATTCCCGAAATTAGTCTTTTTTTCTGGGACCTAGAGTGGCCTTACTCCTTAAACGAACGTAAAAGGTTTCAATTACGTTAGTTAAAAAATCGGGTGTGGTTGAATTTGAAACGTTCACTATTTTTTCCCGCAGCTCTTCTAAATTTTCAGACCTAGTCTCATAGACCTTTGTTTTCAAATACCTCCAGTAAAAGAAGTCTAATGGGGTCAGATCTGGTGATCTCGGTGGCCATTCTATTGTGCCTCTCTACCAATCCATCGATCAGTGAAAACATCGTTTAGAATATTTCGAGCTTGCAGAGAAAAATGAGCTGGAGCCCCATCCTGCTGAAACCAAACATTGTGGAAAGCTTCTCCAGCAATATCTAGCAATATATTGAATAGCCGGTATCACTTGGTTTCTTAGCAAATTGCAATAATTTTGAAAACAAAGGTCTATGAGACTAGGTCCGAAAATTTAGAAGAGCTGCAGGAAAAAAATAGTGAACGTTTCAAATTCAGTCACACCCGATTTTTAACTAACGTAATTGAAACGTTTTACGTTCGTTTAAGACATTGCCAAGTTGTCGAAGGACATCAATTTGAACATTTGATTAAATAATTAGTGTTTTTTGTTAGTATTGGTATTATTTGCATTGATGTGTTTTGCGATTCGCGCCCTCTTTGCATACCTCTAAGTACAGTCTTTGTTCATCTATGTTTTCTTTACCGACTGTGATGTCGTTTTGGTCTCGCATTTTTATATTTTGCAACTGTGTGTATGGCCATGCCTCTCTTATAACGAACAGCATCCTTATAATGTACCATTGGAATAATAATAAATGTTACTCTCTCAAGGCTTATCTACGCTTTATTAGTTACTCATGCTAACATTTTTATTCCTTCACATATGCCAGTGTTCCTATCTCGGTCTTGCCTTAGTTGGCCGGACACGCTAGCGGTCTTGTCTTAGTTGGCCGAACACGCATACACACACACACACACACGCACGCACGCACGCACGCGCGCACGCACGCACGCACACACAGGAACGCGCGTGCCGCGTGAAGCCTGACCTTTCTTCTATTGTCGCTGTGGGCCCTCACAAAATCTCAATGTTCAAATGATCACTGCGCAGGAACTGCGAAAAAAAATCGTAGAGACCTCGGCGACTTCGCGTTGTTTTCGTCTCGGAAAGCCCTTTCGAACGAGCCCTCACTCAACCCAACATGCCATTTGAGATTTCTCGGCTCCCCCCTCCCCTCGGCCCCCGGGGTGTGGAGGTGGGTGTTTTTGTGGTTAAATAATAGACTTTGTGATCCCATTGAATCCTTATAAATTTCAATCCTATATTTCAAACCGTTCAAAAATTATTTAGGTGGCCCCGAACTTTTGGTAGGCACTGTATATATATATATATATTATTACGTCTCAGCTCCTATTTTTCCCCCCTGTTTCTTATTTCTTTTTTTTATCCTTATCAAGCGGTCTTGCAATCTAAACTTCCGGTTCTCCCCTTCCTCGTTCGATATGGACTAGGATTATATTATGTTGACATTCGTAACGGCGACCTGTAATTGTGACTAACATTTTATTTTAAGTTAATGCGTTAGCTTTAATGCCTTTTACTATTCCTTTGTATATGGAAAACCTTATGTTAAATTTCCGACACCGGCGTGTGTTAATTTGATATATCGATTTTGGATGACACATTTTATGTGCCAGACTCAACGTATGAATTGTGTTACTCTTTTCTGTTTTCTTTCTTTTCGGCACTTCTGTTCTATGTTAATTTGATACGTCGTTTTCTACAGCGCGCGTATGCTTTATCATTGCTTACGTAGTCTCAAGAATAACAGCCCGGTTGCGCGAGGGCTTGGCTATTATTTCTTACTATTATTCCAAATTATTTTTATCATAGCGGACAGACTATGCAGCTTCCCCATCTCTTGTTTCTTAACAATAAAAATAAGCACTAAGTGTGGGACAGTTGTGTTATAACCGTTAACAACTTTTCTAATCGTTATCTTTATAACTCTGCAGTATAAGCATTATGATTCTACGAATCTCATAACTGTTTTGCGTCAGCAGCACGGCCCAGCTTCGCTCTCAGGAATCTCGAATGGAAGTCAAGGCATATCGCGTCGTAATTCTCCACCTTGTTTATTTCATCCGACATCTCGCTAAACTTTACGTATTATCCGATTATTAGATCAAAGCGTTAGAAATGTAGTGTAAAGAAGTAAAAACCTATCACTATAAAATTGTACTACCCCCGTTTGCCACTCTCCGTTAAAATTATTAAACTTGTTGCGCCGAATTCGCCAGGAACGCTTCCTTGGCCTATCATTGTATCGCGTCGTACCTAAATTCGCGATTGCCGCATTATTGTCCACCCGCGGTTGACTATAAAATTGTAAACGTTTTCATTCAAAGATAACCGAACTGTTTAGGCGACACTTTGGCGGGGTTCTTATCGTTGTTGCATCCGGAGATCGAGTAACTCGCATCTTGCTCCGACACAAAGAAGAAGGACTCCTCGGCCTGTCAGCGAACCGCCCGCTTCTTCACTCTCGTTGAGGCCGTCACACGTTTCGGACGCGTGCTCACAAGTCTCTCCTTAACTGTTGTACTTAGAGAATCTTCAAGTTCCATCATCTCGTGACGGTCTCTCATATTCTCGTATATCTCCTTTTTTTCTTTCTGGTTCTTTCTCATTACAATTGTTGCAACCAAGTGTATTCGTGACTTCAACCAATTTCACGATCTTCTTAATTAATTCATACAAGAAAAGACAGACGCGACTTTCGGAAGCCGGGAGTGCGATATCGCGAGCGTTCGACGTTCCGTCATCTCAGCTGGGAGGAACGCGGGCACGTACGAGGGCTCCTTCTCCCGTTCCGTCGGACGCCTAAACAGTGACGTTCCTGCCATCCGATTACAGTAAGCCTTTCGATATCCAAGTTAATAAACAATATATGTCTTCCTCTATGTCGTTCGATGTGTTTCACAATCCGTGTATTGTTCTCCGTACAGGGGCGCTTTCCTCATAGTCATATCCACGTTATCAAATAAATTCTATTGAATCCAATAAAATTCCACGGGACGTAACAATATATACAGGGTGTCCCATTTTAATCCGGCCGGCTGAATAAAATTCGAGAGTATTTTCCAGAAAAAAATGTCAGACAAATGTTGCTCAGTTCTAAGGGGGACATTTGATGCCATCAACAATTTTGACCTCGGGTAAAGGGTTCAAGGCCATTCAAGGTCAACTTTTTTTCTTAAATGGGAACCCCTATTTTTCACATCGGCAATCGATTCTACATAAAAAAAATGAAACTTTTGTCTGAAGCATTTTTTTTATAACGCAAACTAATTTCACTTATTCAGCCGCCAAAATTGAAATTTTCAAACTTTCTGAATTTTTTACTCGAGAATAGTGGGGTTTGGGGGGAAATTGCAGAAGATAAAAAGTTCTTGGAATGTTGCAAGGAATTCACTTGAATTTTCGCATAGTTGATCGTGCACTTTTTTCGAGGTACCTCCTGACAGGTAGAACATTGGCGTGTGTGTGGGTGTGTGTGGGTGTGGATGTGGGTGTACAGGATGTTGTAAAAGTCTGGGAAGAGCAGAATAACTCGAAAAATATGAGTCCTAGAAAAAATGCGAAGTACTGGGCTTTTATAATTTTTTCCTGGCTATCTGATGGTGACCTTGGATTTGACTTTGACAATGACCTTGAAGGTCATTGTAAAGAAAAAAAAGGAGATATACGAGAATATGAGAGACCGTCACGAGATGATGGAACTTGAAGATTCTCTAAGTACAACAGTTAAGGAGAGACTTGTGAGCACGCGTCCGAAACGTGTGACGGCCTCAACGAGAGTGAAGAAGCGGGCGGTATATATATCAGGTATATATACACGTCACGTGAAGGTTACCTCAACTTTTTTAGCTGGCACCCCCTATTCTTTATTACATATTCTTGTAGCTGATCTCGAGAGCTTCCCAAAACACTATAATCAAATATTTTTTGGTGAAGTATTTTTCGAGTTATAAAACTCCAAATTTACAAAATTTTGATAAAAATACAATATATTTCGTAAAACATTCATTTTCCGATAGTCTTATCTTACATGATCCAACCAGTCAAGGCAAGATCCGAGCATGATCCAACCAGTCAAGACAAGATCCGAGCATGATCCAACCAGTCAAGGCAAAATCTGAGCATGATCCAGCCAATCAAGGCAAGATCCGAGCATGATCCAACCAGTCAAGGCAAGATCTTCTTTTGTGTACAATTACTTAAAGTGTTCAAAAACTTGGCCTTTTACTTCTATGCATAGCTCTAGTCTATGGTGAAAGTCGTCCCTAACTTTTTCAAGAACTCCTACATTAATATTTCTGCAAGCCTGTCTGATCCGGTTTTTCATATTTTCAACGGTTGTAGGCTTTTGCGAATAAACTATATCTCTAATGTAGCCGCAGAAATAAAAATCTAGGGGTGTCAAGTCGAATGACTTGGGGGCCATTCTTGAACTCGGCTGCCCATACCAATCCACCTATTCGGGAATCTATTGTTTAAATATTGTGTAACAGCTCGAGATCTATGAGCCGGTGCTCCATCTTGTTGAAACCACATTCGTCTGTAGTACGAGTAAATCATTGTCGACATGTCTCAAGAGGTTGGGCAGGTCATCTTGAAGAAATCTTAGATAGATTGCCGCATTGAGTTTCTTCAAAAAAATATGGACCAACAATAACATCTCCCAGGATGGCTGCCCAAACGTTAATGGACCACTGTCATTGGAACTCTTGGCTTCTCTGCCAATGTGCATCTGAATAATAATGGCAGTTATGTCTATTAACGCCTCCTCTATTACAAAACGTGGCTTCATCAGAAAAAAGCGTATCAGCAATGAACCGGGGATTTTGTTGAATTTTATCTCAAGTCCAGTTACAAAAACGTACACGGCGTTGGTAGTCCCTCTCTTCCAATTGCTGACTTAGATGAATGTGATATGGGTGAAACTTGTTGAGCTTGAGCACACGATTGGCTGTTGATTTAGATATACCGTATTTGCCGAATTGCCCCTCAGTTTGTCTCGTAGAGATTTGAGGATTCAAAGCAACGGCACCTATAACAATCAATGATGTGACTTCATCAGGGCCCGATTTTCGCCGGTTTCTTCTAAGAATACCCTGTTCAGCTCTATCGCAGAATCTTTTTATTACTTTCCTATCAGGATGGCGTCTATCTGGAAATCTTTCAGCATAAAGCCTTTCTGCTGCCGAGTAATTATTCCTGGCCTCATCCAAAATGCGAATTATGTCCACAATTTCATTTGATGGATAAGCAGCCATAATTATAAAGAAAAATAGCCATAATTATAAAGCAAAAAACCAAAAATTCCTCTTATCAAAAAAAAGTCAATGGATAATAATATGCGTCTATTTGAGACTTCGCCAAAATACCGACAGTTGCTCAAGTAAACATCCGCGTCGGGCTAACGATCAAGTATCTTGGCCTGACGTTGGACAGCCGGTGGGAGTTTGGCCCGCACTTTAGGGAATTGGCCCCCAGAGTGCGCGAAGCTGGGCTGGCTGTCGCCAGCCTCCTGTGCAACCTGGGAGGTTCAGGTTGGAGAGCTCGCTGCCTGTACGTGAATGCGGTACTGTCGATCGCCTTGTACGGGGCGCCAATATGGGTGCTCCAGCTCAGCGCCTGCCGAGATGGCATACGCCGAATGCGGCAGGCGCTGAAGCCATTGTACATCCGGGCGATCAGGGCGTACCGCACGATACCGTACATGGTGGCGACCACCCTTGCTAGGTCCCCTCCCGTAGAGCTCCTCGCCGAGGAACGGCGAATCCTCTACTGGAGGATCAAGGAGCTCCGCGAGGAGGGGGACCTAACGGCCAGGGACATGCGGGCCTTAAAATCCCCGTGGCTCGTACCCTGGAGAAGTGGGGGGACATTTTGTCCGACCCACGGGGTACGGGCACGAGACGGCTGAGGCTGTCCGCCTCTGCCTGCCGGACTTGGCGGGCAGGAGGGGATACGGACTGTCCTACCATCTGGTGCAGGTGCTGACTGGCCATGGGTGCTTTGGCAAGTACCTGCACCAGATTGGGAAGAAGCTCACCACCAGGTGCCACCACTGCCCCGTCCTGATGGACACGGCGCTCCACACCTTGGCTGCATGTCCAGCCTGGAGTCCGGGTCCTGGCCGGGGCGATGGGGTGTCCAGTGGGGGACATCTCGCTCCAGCGAGCGCATGGTTCAGACCATGTGCGGGAGCGAGGAGGGATGGGAAGTGGCGGCCTCCTTCTGCATGGAACGTTATGTCCAAGAAGGAGGCCCCCGAGAGGGAGCGCCGACCACGCCAAACCCGTCGTCGCAGAAGGCGACGGGGTGATCGGCGCCCAATGGGGGGAACTTAGGTAGCGGGCCTGAGGAGGCACCGGCTGAGGAAGAAGAGGACCCCTGAGTAGCAAGGGTCCATGCCTTCCTTGGCCGCCTCGGGCCCGCCTCCGTCGGCAGGGGGGATCCGGCTCTTCTTCTTCGTAGAAGATGGATCCCCACTGCCGCAGACATGCAGGGATAGGGGGGAGTGATGCCCCGTTTGAGGACGGGGTAAGTGGTGAGGGAGGATGCCCCCTCCCCCTATAGGTGAAACCAGAAGGCCAACCGGTCGGTCTTAGACCGACCGGGGCCTTGGATTCCCTTGGAACAGAGCGCGGTAATAGGTGGCGTGGGGCTCCCGAAAGGGAGTTCTGGGGCCGGGGTGTCGGGGAAGAAATGCGGGAGCAGTTCCCCTGACTCCCCATATTACCGGTCCGACAGGTAGGCATCCCACAGGGGTTTTAGTCGGTAGGAGTCCGACATAACCCCCGACCCCCCAAGGGTCGGGGGTATCCATGATGGATTTCCCCTGCGTCACTAAAAAAAAAAGAAAAAAAAAGTTGTTCAAATAAGAAATTTGAAACAAGCCTCTTGATATTTGTTTCATTAAAAGAATTGACAATTGCATTTTCACAATTGTTACAGTTCATTGATTATCAGGCAATACAGGATCTCGTCTTGACTGGCTGGATCATGCTCGGATCTTGCCTTGACTGGTTGGATCATGTAAGATAAGACTATCGGAAAGTGAATGTTTTACGAAATATTTTGTATTTTTATCAAAATTTTGTAAATTTGGAGCTTTATAACTCGAAAAGTACTTCACCAAAAAAATTTGATTATAGTGTTTTGGGAAGCTCTCGAGATAAGCTACAAGATATGTAAAAATAGGGGGATCTATATAAAATATCGAAATCAACATTCACGTGACCTTCAAATGACTATCCAAAGTCAAACCAATGACATCATCTTATATACTCCTCGAAACCATACAACTTTTATCTGAAACATTTTTCTCACAAACGCTTAGTTTTCCAAAGAAATGCTTGGAACGGGCGCGCTGATGCACCATGTATACTTGAAGTATACACTCTAAATGTTGGGTCTGGGAAAAAGTTCGTGGCATTTTTTCCGATAGATGGCGTCAATTTCAAATAACTCAGGAAACACAGATCGCAGCGACATCACTGATTGCTCGTTGGAAAGGTGACACTTCGAGCGTTACTTTCAGTGTATAAACATCGAAATTGGTGCAGTGGTTGGAAAGTTGTTTGCGTTTGAAAATGGAGAAAAGTAATGAAAAATTACGCTATATTTTGCAATATTATTACGACAGAGGGAAGAACGCTGCGCAGGCTTGCGAAAAAATTTGTACTGTGTACGGTGAAAGTACTTTATCAAAATCTGCTGCGCGGAAATAGTTCGCTCGCTTTCGTTCTGGTAATTTTGATGTGAAAGATGAGTCACGCTCTGGTCGTCTAATCACTGAAAAAGCTGATGAAATTCTTGAAAAAGTCCAGCAAGATAAGTATATCAGTAGTGTCGATATTGATATAGAGCTAGGCATTGACCACAAAACTGTTTTAAACCATTTACACAAAGCTGGCTACAAAAAGAAGCTGGATGTATGGGTTCCTCATGAGTTGAGCGCGAAAAACATGATAGACCGAATTAACATGTGCGACGCGCTGCTGAAACGCAATGAAATCGAGCCGTTTCTGAAATGTGTCATAACCAGTGACGAAAAATGGATCACGTACGACAATTGGAAGCGTAAAAGATCATGGACAAGGGATAGTGAGCTGTCACAAGCATTCGCGAAGCCAGGATTGACGCCGAAAAAGGTGATGCTGTGTGTGTGGTGGGACTGGAAGGGAATCGTCCACCATGAGCTACTTCCAGTTGGTCAGACGATTAATTCTCAACTCTACTGTGGACAACTAGAGAGATTACGCCAGGCAAGAAAGAATTTGAAAGAAAACGGCCCGAATTGAATAATAGGAAAGGTGTTGTCTTACATCATGACAACGCCCGACTACACACTTCTTTAATGACCCATCAAAAATTGCGAGAGCTTGGTTGGGAAAGTTTTGATGCATCCACCGTATAGTCCAGACATAGCACCCTCTGACTATCACTTGTTCCGATCTCTGCAGAACTCTCTCAATAGAATTAAGCTGGTTTCAAAAGAAACCTGTGAAAACCACTTGATTCAGTTTTTCAACCAGAAACCACAGAAGTTCTTCATCGATGGCATTATGGCTCTACCCAAAAAATGGCGAAACATTATCAATAATAATGGAGCATATTTGGTTTAAATAAATTCATTTTCACATTATAAGAAAACCAGTTGAATTTTACTAAAAAAACGCCACGAACTTTTTCCCAGACCCAATGCTTGATACGGGCGCGCTGATGCACCATGTATACTTGAAGTATACACACTAAATAGTTCCGTTTAGGCTGGAATTGACTAAAATAAATATTACTTCCAATTGACTAAAATAAATATTACTTCCAAGGGTATAAGGAAGTGATTCCAGCCATTTTGGTCCAATTTTGAAGGGTGCCGAAAACAGGCCTTAGGGACCCTCCTCCTTTATCCGTTCAGCTGAGAAGTTGAGTAATAAGTATCAAACCGAAGAAACAATTACCAGCGAAGGTATTAATATTTTCTATCTTAATTGGCAATTTTAATTGGAAATTTTGAAAAATATATAATTTCCTTAACAAATATTTAACTTTTTTACTCCTCAGCTGAAGAGGACAAAATTGCAGAAGAAAATAAAAATGGTTGATTCATAATCATAGACCACAATCAGAAGTTGATAAAAAATGGGATGCATCGTATACATTACGCGTTCAAGATTGTGCTAACAAAATATGTAAAAATGTTAACGACATATTGATTAAGTAGCCTGTACTAAAATTGGAATCTGGATTTTTGCTGCTATATATCTTGATCTATGAACTTCTATCATTTTATAAAGGAAACCTGCAAGATAAAATATTACGAGAGTCCTGACTGTCCATAGCTTGATTGGATATAATAGTTTTGTCTTGCATATCTCTTTGTAAAACTTCTTTATGAGGGATTTTTGCCAATTTTTTATGTCTATTTGATATGACAAAATTAGTATGCCTAATTCGTAATTAAAAATCAGTATTACTTATAAATACTTTTATTTATTTATACTTACAGATTGAAAGAGACTTTGATAGAAAATTCTCCGAACACAAAGAACGCTTAATAACATCCTGGGATGAAGAGTTTAAAAATTTTTTTAATTTTTTCAAAAAAATGTATTTACAGCAGATTACTTGCATGAAATTTTAATGAATGCACAATCCTTATCTAATGGTAAATATTCACTCATTAAAAAATTTAACCATAATTTATACGATATGTTACGAATAATATTTTATAAATGTGTACATATACCATATATACAGGGTGTTTGATAGCTGATCATGCAGACGAAAGTTGGAGATAGATTGGGTGTAGCCGAGAAGAAAAGTCATGTACCATAATGTCAAGTTGCCAATAGTTATCGAGTTATTAATTAAAACATGTGAGCCAACGAACGCGTAGAGAGCGGAGGGCCTACCGACACTCACTGACTCCGCCTGTATCAAATATCTACGTGCTTACTACGGCCGCCCTCCGCTCTCTACGTGCTCGTTGGTTCACATGTTTTAATTAATAACTCGGTAACTATTGCCAATTTGACATTATGGTACATGACTTTTCTTCTCGGCTACACCCAATCTATCTCCAACTTTCGTCTGCATGATCAGCTATCAAACACTCTATATATATATTTATCTATTTATTTATATGTATGTTTACTAATTTCTTTATTCTAGATTCGAAAACGGCAATTCAAATTTGGCTTTTAGCAAGTGTTGTAGCTGCGAAGTCTAATAAAATATGTATCAAAATTGGAAATAAAAAAAGACTATAGAGGCCTACAATCTCGGAATGTCGAGAAGGTATTTTAGTGCATTGCAAAGTGAGTTAATTGATATATCTATTTTTATCGTGAACATCCAAAAGAAAAAAGTATTAAATTAAATGATTTTAGTAACTACAAAAATAAATATCAATCAATTTCTATGTTATTGTAGTTACCTGGAGATGTTGGATCAACATGCAAGGAAAAAGAAAATAAGATGCTACAGATGACTCTTAGTATGCAACCATTTATAATAGTCGTTGGACCACAAATAACTTCAATTGAAGAAATATACATTCGTCTTGATAAAACTCTATATCCTATGCCGAGTGTATTGAAAGCATTAGATATATTCTTTAAGATTTTCATAACACGTTTAATGCGTGTTATCCAAAAGAATGTGAAAATGTATGGTATTTGATACAGTGGAGTATCTATGACATTCACACAAGTTGGAACTAGAACATTCCTTTTCTCTGTAATGCACTAACAAGTAAAGGTACCTAACTGTCACTCACCGATTTTGATGAAACTTTGCCCACTTATAGAACGATGGAAAATAATCGACACGTATTTTTTTATCTGCGGAGAAGCAGTTTTAAGGGTAGAAATTACCCCTTATTTATATAGAGTGTTTTCGCGTTAGAAGTGCTATCTTGTTGTTTATTCGAAAGGCTGAAAGGTTTCATGGGATTTTTGGAGTCGCTAAATTCGAATCTGACGTGAAAATTCAAAAATACAAAATGGCGGATCAAATATGGCGCCTATGTCTCGTGAATGGGACTATTTTTTCCATGTAAATTAAAATGATGTTGACGAAAATTACGATTTTTTAAATATATAGGGGAAATCACATTGTTTTCACTATTTTTAGTATTACTGTTTGTCATTTGTTTTTATGCGTGCATATGAAATGTCTTCAGGCAACTTATATGGAATTTGCTGTTATGTCACCTAACATTAAATGAATCTATTGAGAATAAATGTTCCATATATTTCAGTATGTCATTATTCATTGAGCGATCTCGAAAACCTAAAAAAATCGTAATTTTCGTCAACATCATTTTATTTTACATGGAAAAAATGGTCCCACTCACAAGACATAAGCGCCATATTTGATCCGCCACTTTGTATTTTTGAATTTTCACGTCAGATTCGAATTAGCGACCCCAAAAATCCCATGAAACCTTTCAGCCTTTCGAATAAACAACAAGATAGCACTTCTAACGCGAAAACACTCTATATAAATAAGGGGTAATTTCCACCCTTAAAACTGTTTCTCCGCATATAAAAAAAAATACGTGTCGATTACGAGGGCGGTCCGATAAGTACTTAGCCTCACCGCCCGATGGCGCCACTATCGCAAGAGAAATTTATTATCATGTAGTACATTCTCGTAGACGGCTACTGTCGAAATTTCAGCCGAATCGGACTCGTAGTTTTGTTTTGACCGCGTGTGGAAGCGGACGTGTCCGCGGATTTTAGAAAAATGGAAGAAGAGTAATATCGGTCGGTGATTCGATTCTTGTTTTTGGAAGGGAAATCGCGCAGCGAACTCAAAGAGCGCTTGGATGCTGTGTACGGTGACTCTTCTCCTTCGATGGCGACCGTCAAAAATTGCTTTAACGAGTTTCAACGTGGTCGCACGTCGGTTTTTGATGAGCCACGCCCAGGTGCCCCGAACGGCTACCAAGGAGGATAACATGACAAAAATCCACGATCTCGTATTGGCAGATCGCCGATTGAAGGTGCGCGAGATAGCTGAGACAGTAAGAATCTCAAAAGACCGCGTGGGTCATATCCTGCATGAAATTTTGGGCATGAGAAAGCTATCGGCGCGATGGGTGCCGCGTTTGCTCACTGCGGACAACAAGCGCAACCGTGAGACCACTTCAGAGCAGTGTTTGACGCTGTTTAAGCGCAATCCGAAGGAGTTTCTGCGTCGTTTCGTAACCGTTGACGAAACATGGATCCACTGGTACACACCAGAGACCAAGGAACAGTCGAAACAGTGGACTTCACCTGGCGAACGTGCTCCGAAGAAGGCGAAGACTGTCCTATCGGCCGGAAAGGTGATGGCCACCGTTTTCTGGGATTCACAAGATGTGATCTACATCGACTACCTGGAGAAGGGCAAAACGGTCACAGGGCTGTACTATGCCGAATTATTGGACCGATTCGACGCCGAATTGCAGAAAAAACGGCCCCATTTGGCGAAGAAAGAAGTGCTCTTCCACCATGACAACGCACCGGCTCACACCTCCGCCCTCGCCACGGTCAAATTGGTCGAATTGGGCTACGAACTGCTGCCCCATCTACCATATTCTCTAGATTTGGCCCCGTGCGACTTCTTTTTGTTTCCAAACTTGAAAAAGTCACTCGCCGGGCAGAAATTTGAGTCGAATGAGGAGGTCATCGCCGTCACGGAGGCCTACTTTGCAGACCTCGAGAAAACGTATTTTTCAGACGGGTTAAAGAAGTTGGAGCATCGCTGGGTCAAGTGTATCGAGCTAAAAGGAGACTATATTGAGAAATAATTCGCCACTTTTTCAAAATTTTCGTTTTTCTTTTGTAGGCTAAGTACTTATCGGACCACCCTCGTACTTTCCATAGCTCTATAAGTGAGTAAAGTTTCATCAAAATCGGTGAGTGATAGTTAGGTACCTTTACTTGTAAGTAAGATGAAAAGGGGTTTCACCATAACTTTACAATTTTGTTGTCAGAATCGTTATTTCTTTTCTGTAAATCAAACGTTGTTTTTCTTTTGGTAATTTTGTATTTCTTTAGTTAACGCCATAATTATTCCTATTATAATATATTGTTCATTTTTGTTACTTTTTTTTAAATATATAAATAATTTTAATAATTGAATAGATAATCACATTCGAATATATACACAATAATATATATTAATATATATATTTTTTTATAGTAATTTTATCATACTTATTACTTTAGTATTAAGACTTAACTTTAGTAGTAAGATGGATTGTAGAATTTGTTCAAAGAAGATTTCCAGTGATATTTCATTACATTTGAAACATGTAAAACAGAATCATCCGTTTGAAATGACATATAAATGTACTTATTACAAATGTTATCGGAAATTTCCTTCTTTTTCTTCACTACAAAAGCACTCATATTTATGCTCATTCCAAAACCATCAAGTACAAGATCCAACCACATTGCAAGATGACTCATCATTACAGACATGTGTAATATTTAAAAACTCGGAAAACATTTCAGACTCTAACTTATATAACAGTAGAAGCAATTATTTAGTTGAAAGAGATATTGGATGCAATAATATTCAAAATTGTATATTAAAATTTGTTGCTCAGTTATATAATAAACCTAATATTTCCCGATCAGCAATTCAAAAGATTATAGAACAATTTCAAGATACATTACAAAACGTTTTGGATTACTTTATTCAAAACTTGAAAACACAATTACCTTCAGAATTACATATTAATCTTAATAATTATTTCAATGTACCCATGTTAAAAGAAATTAGTAGCGAATATAGGTTTGAATATCTACGGAAATGTAACTATTTTATCTCGCCATAATCATTTCTCATACGAGAATTGCTTGATAATAAAAAAAAGTACAGAAAACAATTCTTGCTACTAGAAAATATGAAGGACAAATTGTACTTATGTGCAAAATTTTAAAAGTTTTTTAGAATTACCTGATTTTAAAAAATTACTATCAGTTTTTGAAACTGATACTTCTGCAATATACATTAATAAAACATATACGAGTGTTTGCGATGATACTATTTGGTCAAATATCCGAGAACACTATGTAAATAAAACAGTTATACCATTGTTTTTATATTATGACGATTTCGAAACATGTAATCCTTTAGGATCTGCAGCAGCGATCTATAAAGTAGTGGCGTTATATGACTCGATTGCAACTTTACCTTCTAGATATGCTTCGTTATTAGAGAATATTTTTTTTAGTACAATTGATACATTCAGAAGACCGAACATATTTTGGGAACGATAAATCCCAGGTAGCAGACTGACGTCAAATGACGTACTAATGACGTCTTAATGATGTTAGCTAACGTCATTAAGACGTCATTAGTACGTCATTTGACGTCAGTCTGCTACCAGGGGTGTTTTCGAAACGTGATAGAAGAATTAAAATATTTAAGTATTGGGGACTTGAATAAGTTCTCGCTGTTTCCTGATGGAGATGGTGTTATCTTAGCCTTTTTGCATCGGGCAATATTACAACAACTTCATCGTGAAGCTCCACCATTAGGCTCGAAGTGATAGTATATGTTATTTTGTCGAAACGTAAATAACAGTGTTAAACATGTTGAATTTCGTGCCAAAGAAAGAGTGCGGGGAATTTTACTGCATTACTTTTTTCAAAAAAAAAATCTGCAGCTGAAGCACATAGAATTCTTGTGAAGACTTATGGCGACCATGCTCTGTCAGAAACAACATGCAGAGATTGGTTTAGACGCTTTAAAAATAATGATTTTGATGTTGAAAATAAAGAACGCTCTGGCGCACCGAAAAAGTTTGAAGACGAAGAATTGGAAGCATTACTCGATGAAGACCCATGTCAGACGCAAAATGAACTTGCAGAATCACTAGGAGTTGAGCACACAACTGTTGCCAAACGTTTAAAAGCATTAGGAATGATTCAAAAGCAAGGAAATTGGGTACCGTACGAATTGAAACCGAGAGATATCGAACGGCGTTTTTTCACGTGTGAACAGTTGCTCCAACGGCAGAAAAGGAAAGGTTTTTTTGCATCATATCGTGACTGGCGATGAAAAGTGGATACACTACGATAACCCGAAGCATAGAAAATCGTGGGGTAAGCCTAGCCATGCATCAACATCGACGGCAAAGCCGAATATCCAAGCTCATGCTCTATATTTGGTGAAATCAGCTGGGCGTAGTATATTATGAGCTCCTCAAACCCAACGAAACCATCACGGGAGATCGCTATTGACTATAATTGATGCGTTTGAGCCGAGCATTGGAGGAAAAACGGCCGCAATACGAGGAAAGACACAACAAAGCAATTTTGCAGCATGACAACGCTCGGCCACATGTTGCAAAACTGGTCAAAACCTACTTGGAAACGCTCAAATGGGAAGTCCTACCCCACCCGCCGTATTCATCAGATATTGCTCCTTCCGATTACCACTTGTTCCGATCGATGATTCATGGCTGAGCAGCATTTCCATTCTTATGAAGATGCCAAAAAATGGGTCGATTCGTGAATAACCTCAAAAGATGAGTCGTACTTTCGACATGGTATTCGTATGCTGCCAGAAAGATGGGAGAAAGTAGTGGCTAGCGATGGACAATACTTTCAATGACATGTTCTTTACTAATTTTTTTAAACAAAGCATTCATTTTCACGAAAAAACAGCGAGAACTTATTCAAGTCCCCAATAATACAGGGAATTCCTAATGAAAATGGTTGAGAACATAATATCTACTTCATCTTAATAGTACTTTTAGATGATAATTTAGCGCTTAATGGCCTTTTAGGTTTCCATCAGAGTTTTTCAACAGATTTCTTTTATGGAATTTGTCGTGCTAATAAATTGACTACGCGTACAAACTTTTGAAAATAAAAAGTTATTACGTACTTTCCAAAATTATTCCGAAGACGTTTCAGAATTGGTATACGGCGTAAAAGAAGAATGTATATTTAATGAAGTCCCTCATTTTGATTGTTCGATAAATATAACTTACAATATTATGCATGATCTTTTCGAAGAGGTTTGCAGATATGATCTCGCGAAAATAATCCAACATTCCTTAACACAAAAATTTTTCTCAATTGGTAAACTAAATGAAAGAATTAAATATTTCAACCATCAGTATTGACAGAGAAAATAAAATGCCGTTAATAAAAATTATTCATTTACAAAGAGGGTATTTAATAATGACAGCAGCAGAAATGTTAGCACTGATCTCTTATTTTATTTTTATTATGGGAGATTTAGTTCCTTATAACGATGAAGTTTGGGATTTTTATTTGACGATTTGCGAGACCATTATCGTTACAGATAGAATTATATCAGATACTCAAATTAATTTGCTAAGATGTTTAATAATTTCCCACCATGAAACGTATATATGATTGTTCAATGATTATTTAAAACCAAAATATCATTTTATGATACATTATCCGAATATTATTCGAAGAATGGGGTCACTCAAGAATTTATCTTCCATTCGATATGAGGGATTTCATAAACTTTCAAAAACATACGCGTCTATC